TTATAAGGATTGGAACACGGGCCTTGCTATACTTCAGAATCGGTCCAAAGTGTTGTCATGGCTGCAGCCCAAGAGAACTCGGGGCTATGTGGCCCAATAGGCCCCATCAAATTATTCACGCCAGCATTTATAAAACTGGAAAACTTTGATTGGGACTCACACCGTGTGGTTTTTTGATGAATAAGAACTTGGTTTACCCCGCAAAAAAAAAATGAAAGGAAAAAAATCAAGAGAGGGGGGAATTCAGATTGTCACTCACGCCGTGATTATAACGGGAAGTTTATAGGGGCGACCAATGAGAGTATGAGACGATGAGCTTCTGTTTTCATGCTTTCACCACACAGGCGACAACTGTTAGATTTGGGCTAAACTTGGCTGCAACAGTCGGATGTAAAGCTAGAGGTGGAATTCGGTAACTCCGAGGTGGTTTCGGCCTTGCAAGAAGGAAGATCGAGTTCAGTGATGGAGCACACCACATGATACCAAGATATTTACATATCATATAAGTATTACAACACAGCTCCGGTCTTTATTACAACTGGATGACCCGTTGTGCCCTTGGCAAAGAACAATTGTAACAAAGAAATGCAACCAAAGGAACAGATGTACCATGTGAAGGAGTCTATTTTGGGATTATCTGCAAAATACAATGCCAATGACTATGCTCACGTTCTGTTATTTTACATCGTTGCGGTAGACCATTAACGAGCATCACATGACCGCATGTCAACTAAGGTAACACCAAACCGGACGACCCGAGAAACAGGGCTCTGACCCGAACAAACCGAGAACCAACCTCCCCACCAAAAAGTGGCCAAAACCCAATTCCAAACCAACAACAGAGTAGTAGAGGTGACTGGCACAATCCAACCCGACGAATGACAACAGTGAATAAGCCGCGGAGCCAGCCACTCAATGGTCCCTGTCGTGTGGGTCGAAGGCGAGCCCGGGGCTACCTCCTCTACCACTCGCTGTCCTCGCCTTGCGTGTGCCGCCCTGCGCATTGGTGGTGGGGCCTGGTGTTTGTTCCATCGGGTAAAGGCGTCGAGTCTGATGCGATGGGTGCAGCATGGTTTAGCATGTGGGCTGTTTGACACACATGTGCGATGACCCGCTTGAAAGTTACACCAGTCAGAGGCCATCGCACACGATTATTGAAACCATGTGCTTAAGGGGGCCTATTTGCGTACCAACCCAAGACATGCTTATCGGGCTTTATGTATTAACGATTGGAAAGCGTCAAGGTATTTGTGCAAATAGATATAATAGTTGCAGAAACTACCCAAATCTAAAAGTAAATTACAATAATAATAATAATTCTAAATATAGGAAAGATAAAGAACCCCATTTTCGCACAGAGTTCCCAAATCTGTGTGTGATAAGAGGGGTCAATCGCACACACAGTTAGAACACAAAAACTATGTCAATAAGTAGGGTCCGCCACACACAATCAGAATTCAAAATTGTGTGCTCAGATAGGTTGGCGACTGGGGATGCCATCGCACACACTTCCAGAACCGTGTGTGACTGGGGATCTAAACATGTTTAACCAAGCCTAAAATTAGTGCCATGTTACTAGAATTATTAGAACAAAATTACAAGCAAACATAGCACATAACGTAATTCACATTCAAAACACATCAAGTGATTGTTTCCAACATGTATCTGACATATGACATTTTCCAAGTTCATCATAGAACATATGCAAGTACAAATGTACTTCTCCACATCACACAACGATCAACACACACAGGTAGCAATCACATATGATCTTACAGCATCTACAGAAGCTTCAGCTGGCCCTCTAAATAAACTGAGACCAGACTCTATTAGTCTCAACGGTATCCTTGCTCAGGAGCAATTAAAATTTCTGATAACCATCAGCTTGTGAAAAAAATCCGTTTAACGTTTTGCAAAGAGAGGTAGCAGTCAAATGGAAGCTCCCGCAGAGCAGCAGGGAGTTGGTTCAAAAACCCCATCAGAAGACTTAGAGCGGCAATGGAAAATTTGTGCGGCTGTTTCGTGGAGAAGAAGAGGCATGGCCAGGGTTCCTCCATTCATGAGGTTTTATCAAGCTTCCTTTTGTTTATTTATGGTTGAACTTCTGGTTGAAGAAAACTGCACGGAAGTTGCCGATTTGGAGCTCAGCTTGAGCAGCTCTTGATTTCTTGCTTGTTGCTTGATGTGGGATGTGAGTATGCTGTCCTTTTTTTGTCATAAATTTTTCACCTATCCAAGCAGCTCAATTTTGCAATAGTTAGAACAACGAACAAGTTTGCATCATTCTTGTGGTGAACTGATCAACCTAAAGAAAGATCAGCAAAGCATGCACTCACAGAAGGTGTACTGTAGTCTTTCAGTGATTATCAGATGCAATGTGCATGTTTGTTATTAAACTGGTGTAAGTAATTCTGAAAGTCAACTGAATATATATCAAAGAAGTGCAGCATCAGAAACCAAAGCTGAAACGTGAGAGCATGTATTGAATTGGTAAAATTCAGAGTCAAGTGAACGCAGATCAATAGTTTTCCCTTTTTTGGGGTGAAGACCAAACTCTAAATTAAAATTTCTTCTCAACATCAGTGGGTTACTTTCAGTTGACATCTCAGAAGGCACCCTTTCGGTTATACATAACTACATACTCCATATTTGATATTCTCCGATCAATTTCAGATTTCCCTTGATTGGTGGCCGCTTCTGCGTTGCTGAATTTCTAATTGCCTACTATTCCCCGTTCCAACTACAATATAAGGTGAGTACTGTGAGCTTAGAGAGATGCCTTGTGATTATTTATTTTTTTGTCAACAGTTCATTTTTGTAGCAGTTTCCCATTCACACGTTGCACACTTTCCATGAGCCACACACTAAATGCTTTCTTTAGCTTATGTTTTTTAATCTTATGCTTGTATCTCATCATCTAGAAGGATTAACAGCCCAATCTTAGTTTAAATTTCATGTCTGGCATGGCATGTACATAATTAGAGGATGAATATCTATTTTCTGTTCATAATCAGTAAACAGGAAAACACGTAGAAATCATCTTCCATACCATTGTGTCATTGATGAAGTAGATTTAAAATCAAGCTATATTAATGGGAGGATAGACACAGTTGGTTAACTTATCAATTTATAGCTTGCCTCCGCACACGAGGAAGGCGATTCCATGATGCCTAGGCTGCCGCAAAGCCAAACAGGGTCGCAGCCTCAACACGCCTGCTAAACACCTGGTTGGCTAGCTGTCCTTTCTTCCCAGTGAGGCCAGCCCAATTAGGCATCATTGAAATTTATGGCTGGTGAAGTGTTGAATCAACCTCCTCAATATTACCTATCCTCTTACTGCTTTACCATTCGAATCCTTCATTAATGCTAAATAACTGTTACTGATTATCTGAGGAGAAGTAGACGTTTGAACCATAATTTAGTTCTATTCATATTTTTGAGGAAGATGGCCATGTATCTCCTAATTTTGTAGTGGAGTTAATTTCTCTAAAAATAAGTCACTTCTTGCAAGACCGATATGGATACATGACAGTTTCGAGACAGGATGAGGAAATGACGTACATGTTTGGGAAATGATGAAAATCATGGTATTTGTTGACTGATATGAACAACTATGATTATTACTGTTGCATTGTGGGCACCTCTCCTCCTCGACACTCAACCGGAGCCAAGGTGAGCCGCTGTTGATTCCTCTGCACATAAGGTTTTGCCTTTGCTATGTTTCAATTTCATTACTGGGCAGCCAGTGCATGACTCACAAGATCTTGAACAAAAGATTGTTTGCATGTTGCTACTGACCATTGTGTGCGGCAATGAGGTGTGCAAGCAATTAACCGGCAGGTGACTAGTTTGGATGATTTTTACCGCTATTGCCTATGGGAAATTACTGTGTTCACTACGCTCTAACTAGCAATTATACATGTATTGTGTATGCTACCTTTTCTAGCAGAGAAGTCATCGATTCATTTATCCAGAATCACTGGTTCATGTCATGTACCACTTCTTTTAGGGTATGTGGTTGATTTCATTTCCTTTTGTATACATAAATAATTATTTGCTTGAGCTACAATTTTAGATGGTCAGTACTTATAATCCACCTTGTGCAAGAAAAGTTGTTGAGAGAAAGGCTGCATACTATTTCCTAACGAATAGTGATAATCAGGACTTGGTTTTGTTCATAAGATTGCTAGGTGAGGTAGTCATAGGAGATGTTTGGGATGGCTCCGCCCCCACCTAGCTCTGCTCCCACCCTCTAGCCCCGCCGAGCCCTCCCCTACCTGCCGCCGACGCTTCCCGCCGGCCGCCGGCCCCCCAGCCTCCCTCCCCCTCCTC